TTATATTTTGTAAAATTAAACTGTGTGTTTTTCTTTTAAATGTATTTCAGCCATTTTAAAACAATATAACTTTTTCCCTGAGAGCGTTAACGAAGCAGATTAAGTTATTTACTCGACATAATTCACTCTCGCACCATATTTGGCTTTTTGTTGACTCATCACACACGCCTGTGTCATTTGAAGCAGATTATTTAAATGTGAAATGTGACTTAAAGATGCAAAACCCAGGGTAACAAGGTTCATAATGATGTCAAGCACTTTGTGTGCCACTGTCACTGTCGCCTCACAATCAAAACCATTAGTTCTTCAGACGTGAGCTTCAGTTTGAGTCTTATCGTGACAACAGCTGGATCCGGCTTTAATGTTAAAAAGATGTTTGAGTCTTAATGTTGCGTCTTTAGCAGAAGACTAACCTTAGCTTGCCCCTGTTCTGGCGCTCTTGATTCAGCCCCGGGTCAAGGCGGTAGAGTAACCGTCGGTTCGCATGGCTCTTCATGTTTGGTGTCGTTGAGAATGTGCTCTGTTCACCAGCTTTGTCCAAACGAGACTCTCTCCTCCAGTCGTCTGAGAGTTTTCTTTGCCTGCGTATTTGCTCCTGGTGATAAACAACATTTCTCCAATAGAAGCAGTGGAAACATGCATGGGACGTTCACTAGGTTTCAAATCCACAAGGAGCCGGGGGGTGAACTTTTGCTAATTTTTCTTTTTATTATTTTCCTTTTCCTTCGATGAGAACATGTATATTGTACAAAGTATGTATATGGAATATAAATTATACATGGTGTGAGAAGCAGGGATGTGGTGGAGTATAACAACAAACAGGAATGTTACACTCGTGCTACAGTTTCTGTCGTTCCATGACATGCTTTTGTGGACAGCTAATAAACGACCACAGTTAAAAACGTGTGCAGGATTTCTTTTATTTGTGGTGAAGTTGGTCTGTCAGCTGATTTATCACATGTTCAAGATTTGTATATATGGATTAACAGTGAAAGGTGTGTGTGTGTCTGTGTGTCTGTGTGTGT